TCTCTCTCTCTCTCTCTCTCTCTCTCTCTCTCTCTCTCTCTCTCTCTCTGTGTGCTTCCTTGCTGAGATGCAGTTGAGGGTTAGTAGAATTTCATACTGAGAAGACTAAATCTGAAATATTCCAATTTTATTTGACTAACTCCGACTACTGAAGCCTCATATCGCTGAAGCTTCAGTTGAAATTCAGCAAAAAGAATTCTACGGAATTAGCAAATGGATTTTGTCCCCCGTCACATTGAAATTACACAAAGGTATGAAATTAATGGGACGCAAAGTGCTTTTAATGTACATATAATAAGAGGATCATTTTAAGACTTACTTTAAAAAAAATGTAACTTTCAGCACATTCTGAGTTGTCAAAAGTGTATACTGTATAGATATGTATCTAGTGTTATCTGATAATGTGCTTTCTAAATTTTGATATCTTTGAGCCATTTTACACACAGATTGTCTCCTTTTTGTATCATTGCCATCGACCACCTGAAACACACAACACACAGACACACACACACTCATTGTTGTTTCTCTTGTGTGTCTTGGCAGGTGTTCTCAAACAGCGATGAAGCGCCAATTAACAAGAAGCTCCCCAAAGAGCTTCTTCTTAGGTAAGATTAATATTAACAAGCCTCAACCCTCCATACACACACACAACAAACCCTGGGACAAGGGCTCAGGACAGGGTTACTCATTAGCTGAACAATTACAGTTGTGTGAAAAAGTGTTTGCCCCCTTCCTGATTTCTTATTTTTTTTGCATGTTTGTCACACTTAAATGTTTCAGATCATCAAACAAATTTAAATATTAGACAAAGATAACACAAGTAAACACAAAATGCAGTTTTTAAATGAAGGTTTTTATTATTAAGTGGGAAAAAAAATCCAAACCTACATGGCCCTGTGTGAAAAAGTGATTGCCCCCCCCCCCCCCCTGTTAAAACATAAATTAACTGGTTTATCACATCTTTGGAAAGCTGAGTTAAATTTCTCTAGCCACACCCAGGCCTGATTACTGCCACACCTGTTCTCAATCAAGAAATCACTTAAATAGGACCTGCCTGACAAAGTGGGGTAGACCAAAAGATCCTCAAAAGCTAGACATCATGCTGCGATCCAAAGAAATTCAGGAACAAATGAGAAACAAAGTAATTGAGATCTATCAGTCTGGAAAAGGTTACAAAGCCATTTCTAAAGCTTTGGGACTCCAGCGAACCACAGTGAGAGCCATTATCCACAAATGGCGAAAACATGGAACAGTGGTGAACCTTCCCAGGAGTGGCCGGCCGACCAAAATTACCCCAAGAGCGCAGCGACGACTCATCCAAGAGGTCACAAAAGACCCCAGAACAACATCCAAAGAACTGCAGGCCTCACTTGCCTCAATTAAGGTCAGTGTTCATGACTCCACCATAAGAAAGAGACTGGGCAAAAATGGCCTGCAAGGCAGAGTTCCAAGACGAAACCCACTGCTGAGCAAAAAGAACATAAAGGCTCGTCTGTTTTGCCAGAAAACATCTTGATGATCCCCAAGACTTTTGGGAAAATACTCTGTGGACTGACGAGACAAAAGTTGAATTTTTTGGAAGGTGTATGTCCCATTACATCTGGCGTAAAAGTAACACGGCATTTCAGAAAAGGAACATCATACCAACAGTAAAATATGGTGGTGGTAGTGTGATGGTCTGGGGCTGTTTTGCTGCTTCAGGACCTGGAAGACTTGCTGTGGTAAATGGAACCATGAATTCTGCTGTCTACCAACAAATCCTGAAGGAGAATGTCCGCCATCTGTTCGTGACCTCAAGCTGAAGCGCACTTGGGTTCTGCAGCAGGACAATGATCCAAAACACACCAGCAAGTCCACCTCTGAATGGCTTAAGAAAAACAAAATGAAGACTTTGGAGTGGCCTAGTCAAAGTCCCGACCTGAATCCGATTGAGATGCTGTGGCTGACCTTAAAAAGGTGGTTCATGCTCGAAAACCCTCCAATGTGGCTGAATTACAACAATTCTGCAAAGATAAGTGGGCCAAAATTCCTCTACAGCGCTGTAAAAGACTCATTGCCAGTTATCGCAAACGCTTGATTGCAGTTGTTGCTGCTAAGGGTGGCCCAACCAGCTATTAGGTTTAGGGGGCAATCACTTTTTCACACAGGGCCATGTAGGTTTGGATTTTTTTTTCCCCTTATTAATAAAAACCTTCATTTAAAAACTGCATTTTGTGTTTACTTGTGTTATCTTTGTCTAATATTTAAATTTGTTTGATGATCTGAAACATTTAAGTGTGACAAACATGCAAAAAAATAAGAAATCAGGAAGGGGGCAAACACTTTTTCACACAACTGTATATGTAGGTGTGTGTGTGTGTGTGTGTTTTTGTATGATGTATGTTGGTCACTAGTCTGAAATGAGGTTTTGTTAACTATGTGACCTACAGACCAATGTTATTGTCTTACAGCAGCAGTTGCACATGACCCATAAATCTGACATAACGCACACTTTCATACGTGTCCGTCCTTCACTGATTTATATATATGTGTGTGTGTGTGTGTATGACTGAAAGGGATGCACCTGCATGCATCTCTGTTTATTTCCGCACGTTTGTGATCCGTGTGTGTGTGTGTGTGTGAGAGAAACAGTCCTCCTGGGCCTATGCAAACTGCATGCATGCTATAAATAGCTTGTCTTAGCTGGTGGGGAATTCCGCAGTGCTGTGCTCTTCTGCTGCCCCAGCTGTGCTCCACAGAGACTACCAGTACACCCATTACCACCAGCACTACTTTCACCGGTGGGCAGAGAAATCACATGCACTTGCTGGCTGCAACACATGATCTACTGCCACGTGTGTCATGTTGAGGCACTTACACAACATCAGACGTGAGGAAGACGCATTGTTATGGCAGTTAATCTTGTTTTTAAACCATGGAAAGTGGGTTGACTGGAGCCATTTGTTTTTGCATTTATAATTGTGTTATGCCTAGTCACCGTGTTTCACAAGAAGGGACTTTATCTTGTCCATGATTCATTTGTATAATGCACCTACATATCAATGTAAAGACATTTTGAACACAAAAATCACATGTGGAAAATGAGTTCACACCACTCTTATAATTACATATTAGGAGTATAGAGGAAATCAGAGGTTCCCAGCATGGAGATTGGTACCCCTGCAATGTGTGGCAAGATACATCTAAGTCAGGGGTGTCCAAACTTTTTTCAAAGAGGGCCAGATTTGATAATGCCCAAGGGCCAACAGTCCCTGCTGACATTATTTTAAACAATACAAGTAGCCTTGTAGATAAAACAGGGATGAATTTATATCATTGTATAAAGAGAGTGACATGAGAAGATCAATCTCATGTCTGTAAGTTAAATCAGCTATAATCACTATTTTAAAGTGATTAGTGACTCGTCTAAAACATTTAAAAAAGGAATAACTTCAATAGAATCATTCTATACACTGCAGCTTCTTTACATTCTATTAGAATGTAAAGAAGCTGCATTCTGATACAATGTAACTTCTTTACATTCTAATAGAATGTAAAGAAGCTACATTCTGATACAATGTAACTTCTTTACATTCTAATAGAATGTAAAGAAGTTACAGTGTTGCCTTTTCTTTTCTTTTCTTCCCACAAGAACGTAATTTTGTCAGGTTGATAAAAAAGTCACTTTACTTCCTGACAGTGTTATTTTACCACAGGGGTGTCCAAACTTTTTTCAAAGAGGGCCAGATTTGATAATGTGAAAATGCCCAAGGGTCAACAGTCCCTGCTGACATTATTATAAACAATACAAGTAGCCTATACATACATTGTTATTTAATCATTTTATTTTCAATGACAGCAAATAGCAATGTAACCAAATGTAAGCATTCATGTGTGAACACATCTCAACAACTATTCTGCCTTTCTTTCACATCTTGAAAGTCAGATAACACAAAGAACAAGCCATCTAAAAGCTAATTACATAGAAACCGATCAATGTTCTCACCTCAAGACAATCTTAAATATGACTTAGAGAGGGTAATGAAAAGTTGTCTCACATTTAAGTTCAACACACATGAAACAGGCTAACGAAAAACATCAAGTTGTCTCTTAGTATCTGATGATAGCTCTTCAGTGTTACGAGCCAGGCAAACATTAGCAAACTCTGTCTTCTTCTCGGGGCAATTGTGTTTTCTGCTATTTTCATAACAGTCTTTGATAAACTCACCTTCCGTAAAAGGTTTGTCATGTTTAGCAGTTAGCATGGCCACTTGGTAGCTTACTTTGATGATGTTTTCATGTGAAAAGGACCGCTGCTGTGTGGCCAAGTTATCTTGGAGTTGCTTCACTTTTCTAGCACGGTCGCTCTGATAGCTTGTTGTAGCATTAGCATGTTTGGTCTCGTAGTGTCTCTTTACATTATACTCCTTAAACAAGGCAACAGTCTCATGACTAATTAGGCAGACACAGTTGTTTCGGTTTTCGGTGAAAAAAATATTGCGACCTCCACCTCTCCTGGAAGCGGCGGCCCTCATTATCGACTTTCCTTTTTTTACTTGACGTAGCCATGACAGTTCAAGGGTCAGAGCCAATTTCAAACAGCCAGACAGTTACAGAGTGGTGCTGCCACCATGAGGTAAAAAGAGGAATTGCATGTTGAATTTGTATGATTTATTCATTCCGGTTTGACTGTGCTGGCGGGCCATAAATAACGCATTTTAAGACAGAAGGTGCGGGCCATATAGAATCTGACCTCGGGCCGTGATTGGCCCGCGGGCCGGACTTTGGACATGCCTGCTCTAAGTGGTAGTCAGATGATTAATTGGACAGGAAAGAAGAAAAATAATGTTCTCCTACTCAAGTAGTAGTAGAACATTATTATTTCTCTTTAGAAATGCTGGACCCTTTTACCCTTTCAGACATTAACACTTAGGGCTACATCTTACAATTATTTTTCTCATCATTATTAACGAGTTAATCTTTTTGTCAATAAAAATGAACTGTAGTCCAATGTCAGAATGTCACGTTGCTTGTGTTATTCTTCCAAAACCCAAAGATATGTAGACGTGACAAAGAAAAGCATCAAATCTTCACATTTGAGAAGCAGGAAGAAGCTGTTACTTTTGCTTGAAACATGATTTAAAGGATCAAAGTAGCTGCTGATCAATTTTTGCAAAGTGACCTGAGAAGAGGAGGTGCAAGCAGACACCGCTACAAGCGCAAATGTCAAATAGGGTTAACAGGTCTCTCCAAATCAGACTGACTTTCCTCTGAGTGTGATTCACAGAATTCTTCTGTGGTCGGTAAAAGGCTTCTCTCGCGCGCACAAAATGGAAAGTCAGATTGTGTTTGATTAAAACAGTCAGTCGGTCAATGATCAGCGTCACACAGCCATTAACCAGTTATTAGAAGGGAGATCGATAAGGGCCTGCTTAATTGGTCAGCTTCTCTGGTGTCCTGCAATCATTCCAAGGACTGTGTGTGTGCGCGTGTGAGTGTGTCTTTGCATTGCTTTGTCGATTGTGTGCATGTACCCCCTGATACAAGACTCCGGTATAGATTATACGGACATGTCCCAACATGCCCTGGTCCCAACGCACATCAAAACACACAGCCTTTGTCCGTGTCTATATGGAGGAAACAATGGCCAGCTCCTGTTTCCTAGGGTTAAAAGGACATTCAGACCCCAGCTGCACTCAAAGCTTTGGCACCATGACAATTCTCTGAATACCTCACGTTTTCTATAGATTGGCCCTTAAAGGCGCCTCTATGAGCAGTAACCATTCAATCAACTGGGAACACAGACGACGTATACATGTTGGGTTTCATGTACGTCCGTCCTTCTGTACGTATGTACAGTATGTGCGTTTGTCTGTCTGTCTGTCCCATGCTGTCTGTGGCCTTGCTTGTCTGAGTGCCAGAGATTACTCATTGGCAGATTAATGGATTGAGCTGACCCAGTAGCCGGCTGCATGCAGCCCTTTGTGGCGGACCACCCCACAGCTCAAACACTGCCTGTCTGTGGGGCTCTCCTGCTTCCAACCAAACACCACAGCGGATTTTTTTTCTGCTTTCTACAGACACACACACACACACACACACACACACACACACACACAAACATATCTTAAATCACACAAAGGGAAAGATATTCAAATACAAAGTGAGCTCTTTATCTGAGAGTGATTGTGACAAACTCATGCTTTCTTTTTTTGTGTGTGTCTATTTCTAGAATATTCTCCTATCTAGATGTGGTTACACTCTGTAGGTGTGCCCAGGTTTCCAAGGTAAGCTCTTCCCTCTCTACACCTCCAAACCTCCCACTGTGGACTAACACACTCATTGGTTTAAAAGAATGGTTTAATGTCATTCTAAACTGTGGTATGGTTGAATTAAAACCGCTTTACCATTATTGGATTCTCCAGAAACATCTATAATATTGTGCTATCTGCTGGTTAAGTGTAAGTGGGCCGCTGTTTAGCCAATGTGCACCGCAGCTGAAAGCCATTTATGAATGAGCTATCTGTGAATAATAACAAGGGCTTGGTACGTGCACTGTGAATGCAGAGCTGTGGTGGCTGCTTCTCGTACAACAACTCTGTGTTTCTATTTGGAAAGTGTTATTTCTCTGTGAATAGACGTGTTTAATCTTATAGTTTACGTGTTGTCTGCTGAGCTTCATGCATGTGTTCAGTGTATCTAAATTTCCAATCCTTGTTATAATCGGTCAGCAGACTATTTTCTTGATTAATCGATCAACTGATATGACTATAAAGTATCACATTATAATTTCCTAGAGCCCATCATGACGTCTTCAAGTGTATAAAACAGAGAATAGTAGCCAATCATATCATTAAAGCGGCTACAGATGGATGTAAGAAGTGAAAACAGCAGCTTCGGCACCTGCTTCGGGAACAAAGAAACAGAGTTCATTCATTTCTCCCGCATATTATAACAGGGTCACCGTTTACCTCTGTCTGACCAACCTGTCTGTCTCTGTCAACAACCTGTCTGTCACCCTCTCAGGCGTGGAATGTCCTGGCCCTGGACGGCAGCAACTGGCAGAAGATTGACTTGTTCAACTTCCAGACAGACATAGAGGTGAGGGGTGCATTTTTTAAAGAGAATAGGAGGACGAGTGAAGCATGGACAGTATTTGAGTGTACGTGTGTGCTTGTCTACATGTCCTGCACATGTGTGTGTGTGTGTGTGTGTGCGTGTGTGCTTGTTGAGTAGCATTATCCAGCACACAGCTTAAGGCTGGGTTTGGTGCCGACTGTGACGTCGCAGCTGATCCTCTGTCCTGTGGCCCAAGTCATATCACTCTCTTCCTCTCTTCCCATCTATCTGTCCGTCTCTCTCCCTCTCTCTCTTCCTCACTGTGTCTCTCAGGGGCGCGTGGTGGAGAACATTTCCAAGCGTTGCGGAGGCTTCCTGAGGCAGCTGAGCCTCAGGGGCTGCCTGAGCGTGGGCGATGCCTCCATGAAGTGAGATTGTCATTGTCACTCTGGCATACACGCATACAATAAGTGTGCCCCTGCTTTGACTTTTACAAAACGTTCATCTCATGTTGTTGGTTTGATTACTCGCTGCTTTCATTTAAAGTGATTATGATCGTGTGGAATTATTCAACGTTTAAGCAGTTTGGGCCTCTTCAGTCTCAGGGGACTCCATTTTATCTCACTTTACTGTGTACACACACACACACACACACACACACACACACGGAAAACAAAAGAACAATAGGGGTATCTTTTTTTTAACATGAAACTGTTGTGCCTCTTGATCTGTTAATTTACATGGTTTCTCTTGAAGGTATCCATAACCTCTATAACTGATTTAAAGAAGTACAAGCTGTTCTTTGGAGAGTAAGTCTTTCGTAGAAAAAAAGGAAAGCTACAGTAGCAGTACAACGACCTCCCAAGGGCCTGAAGATGACTCTGTTAATTAGCTCCTGAGCAACTCCGAGCATCTTACTTCTTATTTATTCAATGAAGCGACTCTTGAGTAACTCCCTTCCTCCCTCTCTTCTGTTTCCCAGGACATTTGCTCAGAACTGCAGAAACATCGAAGTGTTGAACCTGAACGGCTGCACCAAGATCACAGACAGCACCTGTCTCAGCCTCAGCAAGTTTTGCTACAAACTCAAACAGCTGGATCTCACCTCCTGTGTGTCCATCAGCAACCACTCCCTCAAGGCCGTCAGGTAGCACCGACAGACTTTGTATTGTTACCCACACCGATATATAACATAACCCTTATCATTCCTGAAAGCAGTTTGTTCTCAATTCCTCCGTCAGCCCTCACACACACAATATGTAATAATATTATATAATATAAGACAATTATTTTTGTAATGAACATCAGTATAAAATACAAGATGTAAACATGTCTGAGTTAGCAAGAATACTAATTAACATCCAGAGTCTCTAGGCAGGTAACACTAACAGAAATATACAGATATAAATATACAATACACACGTAGAAAAGACAAAATAGACTGTCCAACGTGCCAAGTTAAAAGTGATCACAGTTCTGGTTTTCCTCATGCCATTGAAGCCGTATCTTCATGTGGTTCACATGTATTGTGTGTTTCTATCTTCACTGCGTGCGGATGCTCAGTGATGGCTGCAGAATGCTGGAGATGTTGAACCTGTCATGGTGTGACCAGATCACACGTGATGGCATCGAGGCTCTGGCTAGAGGCTGCACTGGTTTACGAGCTCTCTTCCTCAGAGGCTGTACACAGGTACAATTTATTCTTTCTTTCAGTTGGCATTTTAGGCTTTCTTTATTGGAATTTTGACCATTTCCAGAGTCTTTTTATACCATTTTTTGAAATGCAATACTTACTATAGTTTTATGTTTCCCAAATATCATAGAAGACAAAAATATGTATGTGAACCCATATATTTTGAGATAAAAACCAAACCACATTATACCGCACTGCTGAAATACTGAAGCAAGCGATACTGAAGAGAAGTTTTCCCTTTTCCCTACTTGCTGTTCCAAACACAGTACATTTTCCATCCCATGGAATTTGGGATTTTGTTTTACATAATCTTATTGGTTGGTCTTTGTTGATGTAGTGGTTTGTGTCAGGCTGGCATTTTCTTTTTCTGCTGCCTCAGTTGGGCCAATATTTTCTTAAGCCAGTGTACTCAGTTTTTTTTTTTTTAAACTAAAGTCTAGTCTATATTTCTTGCCTATAAAAATACCATGAAACCCCCATGAATCATTGTTTTAGGACTCAGAGAGGACAGTCACACGTGAATTGATTTAACTCATTGGAAAAAGAGGATGTAATTGAGGAAAGCTTTCTCCCATCAACACACAAGAACTCACTCACACACATATATTAAGGATTGATCCAGGTGTGGAGTTAACAATACTGTGCATTCTTTTAATCTTAACGCAGCTGGAAGATGGAGCATTGAAACACCTCCAGAAACACTGCCCAGAACTCACCACCATCAATATGCAGTCTTGCACAGTAAGTAAAACATTTGGTTGTGGTATGGGGGGGAGGGGCAGACTGATGATAATGCATGACGGATGTGTCCGTATGCCTCCATGTTGTTGTAATTTGTCTGTTGCCTCCAGCAGATAACTGATGATGGCCTGGTCAGTCTGTGCCGAGGATGCCACAAGCTACAGATCCTTTGTGTGTCTGGCTGCAGTAACATCACTGACGCCTCCCTTACTGCAATGGGGCTCAACTGTCCCAGACTCAAGTGAGAAAAACACACGTGTCCCACCGTCCTTCGCAAGTAATCCAAAAGCTTGTTTCAGTATCCACAAAACATGCTGCTCGGGCAGTGTGACTGCTGTCAATTCCAGAAATGGTCTCGAATCAACATGGGTGTTTTGAATTTTAGCTGCCTGAAAATGCCAGAATCCACAGAACAAACAACATTTTCATCAGCGTTGTCCTTCCACATTAAAAAGTCTTGAGAGACGGGTGCATCAGAGCAGTCACTTTAGGGCAACCCTAAAGCTTGGAAATAAAAAAGAAAAAGTATTAAACAGACAGGATTACGATCTGACAAGGTCTAAGATCTCACCACGCTAAAACATAACCTCAGAGTTGCCTTCACGTGTTGTGTTTTTGTGCGTCTGTGTGTTCTCAGGATCCTTGAAGCTGCACGTTGCTCCCATGTCACAGATGCCGGGTTCACTGTGCTGGCCAGGGTGAGTTTCATTTTGCTCTTTGTCCCGTCTTGTCGTCTGTGAACCTTTTCTTGGGTCACCCATTTCAACCTCGATATCTCTGAGTTCAGTTGATGATTTCTGCTTTGCTTCACAGAATTGTCATGAGCTCGAAAAAATGGACTTAGAAGAATGTATTTTGGTAAGACAATTTCTTTGTTTCCTTATTTATTCCCACCATCGTGCTCATGGTATTTATCTATGTTGAATCTGGTATTATTCGTGGCTTTGATTGATTTGTCTGAGTAGAGATTAGATTAAACATTAGATTGTCTCCGGCCAACAGAGAGAGTAAGCAGTCACTTAATATTTAAATTGTTTTTGACAAAAAGCAGAGAGGGAGACAGAAAAGGAGGGACACGGGGGAGAAAAAGTTTTAACCGGATACAAAACCAGACACAAACATGCTTCCACAAACGGTGAATTAACTGTCTTAAGACATGTGAGAACAGTTCGTTAAATCAAGCTTGTCCTCTCCTCAGGTGACGGATAACACCCTGGTTCAGCTGTCTATCCACTGCCCTCGCCTGCAAGCACTGGTAAACATTTACACCCGCGGTTCTGATTTTGTGCCAGGCTCATCCTGTGTGTGCATACGTATGGAGCTTTAATCCATCTATCCGTTTGTCTTCTACCCGGTTTGCTCTGTCCCGGGCAGTCCCTGTCCCACTGCGAGCTGATCACTGACGATGGCATCAGAGCTTTGAGCAGCAGCACCTGTGGCCAAGAGCGCCTCACCGTGGTGGAGCTGGACAACTGCCCCCTCATCACTGACGTGACACTGGAGCACCTGAAGAGCTGCCATCGTCTGGAGCGCATCGAGCTCTACGACTGTCAGCAGGTCACCAGGGCTGGCATCAAGCGCATCCGGGTCAGTGGAAATCATGGTGGGGGGGATGAGTTTGTTGTTAAAATCACGTCCCCGCTCAGTTCTTCTCTACATTATTTTATCTAAAATCATACACTGTAGTTTATACTTGATTGAAAGAAACCTTTTGACGTTTTGGGAATACACTTATTTGCTTTCTTGCAGTAAATTAGAAGAGAAGATCGAAACCACTCTCACATACCGTATGAAAATGTGGTATTGATTATCTCATCTAACGCTCGACAAGTACGCGAATAAGTATATTTCCCAAAAATGGTTGACCGGACACAGAAGAGACTCCTGATTGTTTGCTTTTTTCCTGTGTCTTTTCTGTCTCTTTATACCCTCGTATTAACACACCTCCTCCCTACACAGGCCCACCTCCCAGAGATAAAAGTCCATGCCTACTTTGCCCCAGTGACACCCCCTCCCTCTGTACATGGAGGTGGCCAGCGTCTGTGCCGCTGCTGCATCATCCTCTGACAGTGGAGGGCCAGGGGGGGCCACCTCTGTCTACAGGTCCTGCTGCTCTGATATGGGCTGATGGGATTGGGGAGGGGAGGGGGAGGGACTGGGGTAGGTGTAGGGGTGAGGAGGGGCTGGACCCACTCACTCACTGCTCCTGGTCACTGATCAATACATAGACTGATTGCCCCTGATCAGTTGAACCCGCCCCTCCTCTCTCCTCTTGCTCACTGATAAGGATTGCAGCAGCCCCGGGTTTGGGCGTGGAGGGGCGGGTGGAAATGACATGGATGGACTCTCTCTCTCTCTCTCTCTCTCTCTCTCTCTCTCTCTCTC